TTTTTTTTTTTTTTTTACAGTTATAAGAGTGTGAGCTATTTAGTCTCCAATTACATTCATACTTTCATAAGACTTAGTAAGGTTAATTTTTCGCTCAGTAACTCCTCATTGGAACGTCTGGATAGGAAATACATTTAAAGTTATCACTAAACTTGTGAATTTAGGCTGTTGCCAAGATCTCTTACCACTAGCAATCCATAAAAAAGCCCTGATGATGTCTATCAGGGTAGCTCGTGCATTGTGAGCTGCATGCTGGAGACTAAACTTAAAGTCAGCTACTTTGAAACTGGAGGCAACTAAGAATTTGGGAATACAAGTGTAGTAATTTTTCTTCCTACCACACAAAAAATAATTCCTATTTAATCTTTGCTTTTTAAGTGCCACCAGCTGTTCATGTTGGACAGGATGTAGGAAGGGATGTATGTGAGCTGAAGCCAACATGATTTGAATACAGGGCAAGTAAGGTCATTAAAAAACAGTAGTGCAGACTGTACCACCTCTGCATCCCACCTGATCACAAATTCAAGGTAACTGCAAGCAAGGTTTCACTTGCACTCAGGTTTATGTTTGGATTTGTCCTTTTTGCCTTCATTATTGCTTAAGCTTACAAGCCCAAGGAGCAAGATACTGCCTGCTTCTGTCCTAAGGCACACCCTGACAGGCAGAGTCAAGTGCCAGTCACCACAAGGGTGCCAAAGCCTCTCAACTGAGAGATGGAAACCATGGGATTCTTCAAGCAATGATCCCACTTAACCTGTTTGCCCCTTTTTTAGTGTTTTGAAACACATAACCAACTTTTTTGTATGTGTGCTCAGATACACTTAGTCAATGTATTTCAAGTTGTGAGAAGATTATCTGTCTTGTTAGACCAAGAGGTAAATGCTAATTTCATTTTATGAGCTAATCTTAGAGCAAGCACTGTAGGAATTCAAGCGCAGGATGTATAGAGGTGGGAAATGGCCAACAACGCTGCAGCTGCTTAATAAACTTTTGTAGCTCTGAACTATTTTAAGAACAATGACTTATTTTCTCAGCCTGTTGGTTCATTTTGAATAATTCGCTGCCTAGCCTAGGCATAACCTTTTTTGCTTTGCTTAAATGAGTATCTTCACAAGATCAAATTGAATGTTTTCAGTAGGCACTGTAATAATCCAGTGAGAAACTAGAGTTCAAAAAAACTGAGGTAGTTCAATAGTAGACGTGTAAACATTCATTACAGATTTTTCAGTAAAATATTGTGGTGTTGTGCTAGTTTAAACTTTAATTGAGAACTTGTAAATGTTTGGGAAGTAAGAGAAATATATTGTTCTGATAGTCTTTCCATTGAAGGCAGGGGGAGGAGATTTTACCACTGGATTAGAAGAACAGAAACCAACTGTTTGTGGAGTAAGCCTAGTGTTATATTTTCTGAATGTGTACTTGAACTTGGAGCAAAATGAAAAGAACAAAAGTGAAGGTAGCAGAAGAATGTACACTTCTAGAAATATACTGCTTTTTCCTGTACTGGTCTTGCAGAGACAAGGGTTCTGTTTTCTTTCCAAAGTACAATGACTACAGAAACATCTAAAGTAATGGAGAGGTCAAAGAAATCCCTGAATCAGTTTGATTACCTGGAGCTGTAGCAGGGCAGCAAATTCAAGCCAGAGCTGAAAAGGGGAACTAGTTTTCTCAAACGTTCTCAAGACCCTAAAAATCTATGGCTTTTAAATGGTCAGCATAGTAGAATCTGAGTCCTCTTTACTAAACCAGCTTAGTTGTAATGTCACACTTGCCCTTGCAATACATACTTGGTATCTCAAGCAAAGCAATTCAACTTGGGTTTGTTTCCTCATCATCTTCCTGCAGAGTGTACACAGTACTTTTCCTTTCTGGATTATTTCAGTATTTTTATTATTTTTTACAATGCATAAGTTGCTCATGTAGAAAGCCCAAGTAATTCTCATTTGTTAGCTAATCAGGGCTTTTTTAAAATGAGCTGGTTTTGTAAGCAGACTATGTAATTTTGCACTCCAGAAGTGGCACGACAAGAAGGTATTTTAAATGGCACAAACAGCACAGTCATGTTGCCACATAACCTAAGGATACCGCATCCATCTGCTACATGGTACTGTGAAAAAACAGGCTTTGAAAAGAATGCTTGGTTAAAACTACAGCTGGCATTTTGGAGGCTCCTAGCTAAATGCAGCCAGCAGTTGGAAAGAAAGTAAAAATACACAATGGCATGAGTCCAGGAAACCAGGGGTTTACCAACCCAACATCTTGGGTACTTTGGCATTTTATCTGTTCCACATAGGTTTCTATTGTTCTGCATGTGAAAACTGCAAATTCATTACTTAACAAGAAGTGTCTCCAATTACAAAAATACAATGAAACCTGGTGAGTCTTTACCACTTACCCAGAAACCAAGCTGCAGGTTTCAGAGTCACAAAGCTAACTTTGCTTCTGTTGCTCTTAATTCCACTAAAGTGAACTAGAAAAAGAGCAGACTGGTTGTTGCTACATTAGCAACTAATATTAGCTCTACTACATGAGGAATTACTGGGAGTTATCCAGCAATAGTCTGAGCTGTGCCAATGGAAAGTCAAGAGTTCAAGTATGTAAATATCTCTCATAGCTGTCAGTCTTCTGCACAGAAAACTGTTTATCTCCGGGCCAAGGCTGTAACTACTTCAAATAGCAGGTTATGGAAGTATATTTCACACAGTAACCTTTGAAAAATTTTTTTCCTGTCAACCTATACAACTTCATATGTATTGTTCATGCATTCTTTCTTAAAAACACTGCTGAGAAGAAACGTGCTGTAATTAGATGCTTGATCTACACTGCCATTACTATGTGGCGAGTTCTCTGTTTCAATAATGCTTCACAGGCCAAACAAAGAGTAAGAAAAAAACCCACAGTGTTCAAACAACTTCCACTGTGCTTTAATCTATATAAATATTCCCTGCATTTCATATTCATTTGGCAGGATAGGCTGTTTACATACTCTCAGACTACCAGTGTACGGCAAAGCATTTATAGTTTCAGGTGTTGGGGTGCTTAATACTGGGGGCCTAATTTGCTGCCATTTTTCTGTTCTAAGGTATCTTCACTGAAATAGTTGGCATGGAGAGGAGGGGTTCTTAACCTGACCAATTCACATGGTTCTGATGACAAAGTCAGTTCTCTTACAGCTGTGCACGGTGCTGAGCTGTCGTAGCTGAGCACAGCCTGTTCCAGCTGTGCTGCTGTACAACTGGTACATCACAGGGTACAGCCTAGTTCAACCTGAATATGAAGGCGCATGGGCCTAACAAACTCCAGCTGCACACAGGACAAGGTCAGTGTTTCACATCGCTCTGTAAAAGGGAACTGGAGTGTCAGGGAAACACAACAGCATGAGAAGCTCACCCCTTGCTCTGCTCTGCGCTTGTTTTCCCTGCGCTGCAGCTCCCCAGAGGGAAGCTCTGGCTGCTGCACACAGGCTGCGATGCAGCTCCTCTGTAGTGATTCACCCCACTCTTCCACTGGGGTTAATCACTGATGGTTTTTTTTTCTCTTCTACTGCTTTCCAACTGTTCTCCTCCCAGTTGCTATTTAATACACAAAACAGATGTGTGTTTGGGGTTTTGCTCTCTGTCTTACAGCACAACTGAGGCAGCTGATTGTTGCTTAACTCAGAAGTAACTACTGAAAATCATATATGCAGTATGTTTGGTTCTTAAACTGCAAATAATTGCCACGGAAAAATGACAATGCAGAGCTGTAAGGAACTGCTGTGCTTCCCACTGGATTAATATTAGCCTCATCCCAAATAACTCTGCAAAACAGGGAGAAAGCCAACGGCCTGAAAGCCTTCGCCCTCCTCAGGGCCAAGATCTGACATGCAGTTTTCTGACTTCTGATTATCTTAGTTTCACAAATCTGAACAATGAAGTTGAAGTGATCTCAAAAGCCTAGGGCATGTCTCAATTTGAGAGAAGGAGGGAAGGATTAGTTCTCAAAGGGCCAGAAGTAATGTGCAGCCATGGCCAGTGACACTTAGAATAAGGCTAGAACTGCAGTTCAGCCACAGCGCTGTTACGAGATTGCTGCCGTTGTTAAATTACTGCCTCGTTTTATCATTACATGTTGAGCAATGGTACACATCTTGACACATGATTTTAATAATAGCTTGTAAGTGTCAGTGATAATGTAATCTATTTAACAATGAGCCTAAAGATTATCCAGAAGAGAGCATATTATGCCCTGTTAAAACAGCTAATCTGCATAAAACTTATGACAAGCCAGACCTTTTCAGTGTTTAATAAACTGGCTGAATATTCATTTTTAAGGCACTGTCCAAATTGGTTTGGTCACAGATGACTATTTAAAGCCCATTCCAAAGCTGGCAAATACACCAGGGAAATAACACAAGAATGGGGGGGGGGGGGGGGGGGGAAAAAAAAACACGCACCACACACAACAAAGTTGAGAGGCCAGCAGGCAGAAGTAAAGCTGTAATTGTGCACACAGTTGAAAGGATTATTGTTTGGGGGGGGGGGAATGCAACAACAAACCACCTCCCATAAACCCAACAAAAGACTGCCTCTAGCCAAAACCCCTCATGATTCACATCAGCACTAATGGGTCCAATTCTAACAAAACATAGGATGACATTGGTTTCAAGTACTTACTGGCCGCTTCTGTATAGGATTGGTGCAGGGCAGAGCAAAAAGTCAGATTCCACTGTTTTTGGTTTTTCATCTGCAAAAAACAAATCACATGAGCTTAATAAACTGTGCTGCTTAAATGAGAAGCTGACATGTGAACAGGCTATACAGTCCCTTCCCTCTCACAGTGTGCTGGTTACCATTTGGTTGTGTCTGGAACTTGCAAGCAAAGCAGGCCCAAGGGAGGGAATAAAGCTGGTGCTTTTTTTAAAGCCTCACCTTGAACACAGAAACCAAGAGCTGGCTTTAAATGTGAGTGTGAGCTCGCATTACGTTACTTACTTTATGTTACTCAAGTCAGCTCATGTTCTTCCAGAGAAATAATTTCCTAGAATCAAGACTGTTTTTACACAAAGTGGAAAAAATTATTAGGGATTTCCTAATTTTTGGAAGATGAAGGTTTGTTTCTAATTAGCGCCCACCCTGTGCACTGCATTCAAGACTTTTCTATCAGTTGTGATTGGAGTGCCTATTGCTCCAGTGTTTCTCATGCTTTTGAATCTCTTCACAAATCTCTCAAAACATATGAAGTATGTACTTGCAGAGCACTGTCTCCAGCACAGCACTCCTTTTCTGCCATTGTGAAAAGGAGAGGAGGGAGCTCTTTTCCCTGATGCCTTTGGTGAGCTGGGAGAAATTCTGCTCCTGTGTGCAGAACCATCCTCCTAGACTTCCCTATAGTAGGACTTAATTTCTGTACTGGAACGGCTCCTGCAAGCATGGGCTATTTCCTGATTAGGGGTGAGAGCAGATACATGATCTGCCAGATAAACTTGGAGATGACTCTGTCCTGCATTTCAGGAACCGGCAGGCATAGAAGTAGTTTAGGGGCAGCTGAAGGAGGAGCTGTTAGCATAAATAAGCTTTTCTTATTTGCTATAATCTGCACTGACTGCTTGGCCTAGATTCGGGGCTAGTTGTGAGGTGGGGAAGAGGGATTAGCACATTGCCATATGTTTTTGTCTTAATGGTATGTTTCATAGATTATTTTTCTATCCCACAGCTACATTTGGCAGGTTTCCTTTCTAGCATTTGGTAATGGTTCTTTATAAATGCAAAAAGAGAAACATGCCAAATGCATCTTTTAAAACCAAAGGAACTGACAAAATAAGGGTTTGCTCTGAGGCTGGTCCCAAAGTGGAGCCCAGGCTATCAGTAAGGGGAACTAACATTGAAATACATCCTCACACAGGTACCCTCTGTTATACCCTCAAATGGTGAAGGTTCCACTGAGAGACTACCAGTTTTTCGTAGAGGGGAATGCAATGACCTAGGAACAATTTTACTTTTCTTGGGACCATCTGCTTCCTCCTGCTACTGTTCAAAGTGCCCTTCCTACCTTTTTGCCCAACCTAGTTCCACTGTTCTCATTTATGTTTCCCCTGAGACAAAAGCTCTTGGAGCCCAGCACTGAGCTGTAGAGAATGAGCTTGCGTATCAGGAGAAGGATCACATTAAATTTCTGAATTTCCTTCCTATAGTAGTCCCTAAACATTTGCTGTTGTCCATTGCTGAAGACGAGACCCTGGGTGGGTTGTAGCAGGCCTCTGGCAAGATCCCATACAGCAGATTGTGTTTTTACGCTGCAACGTATAATAAATACATCACTATGCCATTCCCCTCCCTTTGTGGGCTTTAGCACACCCTTTCCTGAAGCCAAGAAAAAAAAAAAGGCAGCCCAGAGATCTAGTTGGAAATTCTCACATCAGATGCTAGCAAGTATTTGGGGGCTTCATTCTGTCCAAGTATAGTTATTTCTACCATGGCAAAGCAGACATACATGTGCCATACTGCTATAAAAGACCACACAATCAGAGAAGCAGAGAAACCAGAGTCAGAAAACATTTCAAAATGTTATTGAAAGACAACGTTCTTCAGACATTCTTCAATGACACTCATCTAAGCTGTTAAAAGGCTTTCTAGGTAACCTGCTCCAGCCTGAGAAATGTTTACATGAGAACCATTCTCCTAATACCTCACCTAGATCTGCTGCAGAATTTGAAGTGTGTTACTTCTCTTCTCAGTGGATTTGGAACACCCAGCTTATTCTTTTCAGCCCTGTAGCAGCCCATAATTAACAATTACTTTGGCCATTCTTCCTTTCCTGTAGATGTACCAAACTGACCTTTTCTATTCCTCCTTACAGCTTGTGTTCTGGACTCCTGCCCATCCTTTCCAGCTTCCCCCTGGACACTCTCCACAGTGGGTTCATCCCACACTTGTAGCACAGAGCACAACAAAATTCAGTTTCCTAGGGGCTACTGTTGGCTGCACAGCACTGCAACCTACCAGCCACTAAGCCTATTCGGTGTATGCTGCCAGTGTTGCTACCAAGTCATGCTAAAACTTTTACTATGATGGTAGCACCCACCAGCAGGACAGAGAAGGCTTATGGAAAATGGTTAAATCCTTCCTTATCTCGTATTCTGTAGGCCCTTAATGCATCAGAAGATCCTGAATGGTACGAACGTCACCACAAACATAACCATACTGATGCAAGTCTGAAAACACTCCTGTGAAGAAGGTATGTGCTATTGTTTTAATTGCTCAAATGGGCAGACTGGAGTGTAGAGAAGTGACTGCTCATGGTAAACATGTCAGAAGCAAAGCAGGAGCAGAATTCAGGTCCTGTAGCTGGGGTCTCAACTGTTTCCCCTAGGTAGTGTTAAATTAATTTTATTCACGTGGACTAAACTAGTCTGTTTCCCCACTTCTCCAAGTAAGAAAGGTATACCATGTTAATAAATAGACAACTGCAGCAATAACGTGCAGCCACGTTCCAAATTCTAGCTCTGTGAAGCTAATTTATGCAACAAGTGTAAATAAGCAAGCTACAGTTTAATGAAAGAAACGAAGGTGACAATTTTAATTGAAAGTGAAAGGAAATTTATACAAGCAGAATTTATTTACACAGGTTGCCTTTATCCAGAACCACTGTGCTCTTCTCTTATTCTTCCAATTTATTGCAGATATTTAACAGGCAGGAGAGCCCATTCAAGTATATATGATATCCAGAGTAAAAAAGAAAATGTACTGGAAACACATGTTCAATTGGGTAAGAATTTAAGACAGACTAATATAAAAATCAGACAGTAGGTAGGGAAAAAATTAGTTGTTTTTTTTCTACAGGCCCGGTTTGGTCATTTTCCAGCCTGGCTTGCTTCTAAGGAATACTGCTCGGAGCAAGAAGTTGGATGTAGTTATACTAGCCCTCCTCTTTAGTTTAGTTTTAGATATAATAAAAAAGTCATGGAGTTTTCCATTAATGGCATTTTTTCCACCATCATGTACCTTGTGCCAGTTCAGGGAACAGAGCAGCACAAGGAGACTAATCCAGATTCTGGCATGGCTTTTCCTCTGCCCTGCTGCAAGTTAATGCATTGAGCAAGAGAAGACCAAGTCCTGAATATTTTGCTGAAAATTCAATTCTCTGTGAGCATACTTATCAGATAGCAAGAGGATAATAGTTTGTGCTACCTCTCAGTTACTTTTAGAGTTTTTCTAACTTATGCAGCACTCCACTCAGAAAGATTTCTCCTCTGTACCTGTAGTTTGACAATTGAATAACTAAGGATTGTAACATCTGGCCAATGGTGAGTACTAATAAAAAAAAAAAATCAAAACCAACACCCATCTGTACTCCCCTCACCCACCCAAAAACCACAGATAACACTACAGGGAAAATGACTGCAAAAGATGCCACAGTTACTCTGTCTGAAGCAAAGTTCCTTTCCACAGGTCAGGAAACTACAGTCCTGCTGGGGGTCTGGTTGCAGCAAGATGTGCGACCAGGTGTGTGCTGCTTGGGACACTAGACTGATGAACCATGTCAAAATACAGGGATAAAATAGTACCAACTGTTCTGACTTGGCCTTATTCTATGCTGTTGCACGATCTCCAGGAAGAGGACTCACTCCATGTCATGGAACGGGCACCCAGGCCCTGCCAAGCCCCTGAAACAACCAGCATGATGGCTCCACATCTGGTACCCCAGACAGAATGGAAGAGATGACACTCCCAGATAACAAGGTACGTGCACCTCAGAAAATCATGATGAGAGCTTATGTCTTGGCCTGGGCCTTCATGCACTATGGGGTGCTTGGTCACTCTGGGTTTGGTTTTTTTTTTCATTGGGTAACATCTGCTCAGGCAAACATCAGAACCAGACAGTTATCACCATGTTCATTCACACAGCCAGCCAGGCTGCTAAACACCAGTCACTGTTTACAGCTAATGGCAATTGTTAGCAAATCCAAACCACTGAGGAAGATGTGAAATAACTTGCATCCTCTTACTAATCCTCAGAATTTTCCTGTTTTCCTCCTCTATCTAATTTTTCTCTTTTGATGTTATTTAAATGAGATAACAAGAAGAAAATAAATCATTTATTAGGAAGTACAAAGGCAGATCATCTCAAACTTTAATACTTACGAAGTGTAGTTCCGTTCACTTGATAGGTACAAGTAACACTGTCGGTTTTCCCACCAAGGGTTAAGCCGCTTCCTCTAAGAACAACTTCAAATTCCTCTGGAGAGAAAAGCAAAAACCCAAAATCACCAATCTTCAGTGCACTGCACTGTTGGGCAAGGAGAATTTCAATATAGCCCCCAATAAATGAAGCACAACATTGTAATGCTTCTAACTTACTCGGGTCTCCTTTTTCATTAAGCCATGTTACTGCTTCTTCAGCTAAGTCACTACAGGAAAGATAAAGATTTCTTCCCAAATCTCTGTCGCTGAGGCAGCCCTATTAAAATGGAAGTTGATTCTGACTATCAACAGGATCTGGGGCTCAGCTGCACAGTAAGAAAGAGTTTCCCAGTGCATGCTCTGATAAATTGGAAATCTGGGTCTCATAAGAAGACCCCCAAACCTTGTTTGGGCCAACTTAAAGTGCCAGATGAAGAAAACATTTCTCCTTAGTACTGTTTCCTCTGGAAGTTGCATAAGGGCCACACTACTTGTGAATTTCACAGAGGAGTGAAAATGGTTTGTTTACCAAGGCCACTACCTCGTTGAGACAATCCATGTTTATAATAAAAATATCAAAAGGTTTTGCAACTACCTTATTTTGATAGGCCTCAAACTGTGTGGATTGTGAAACTCAGAAGACAAGCCCTTAAGATTTTGAGCAACTCCTCTACTTAATAAACACCACAAAAATGTAGTCAAATGCTTTACTGCTAACATTCCATGCATTTGGGGCAGGGCACTAGAAATACTGTAATGAATTTATATGACCGTTCATTATTAGGATTCCCAGAACTTTGCTCCGTGCCCATAGGTAAAACAGTATGTGGGTGTCACAGAATAAGTTCGAGGGGAAGCGCAGAGCACAACTGACAGGAGAGGGGCAGATAAATGCATCTCGAACTTTCACACGCATTACCTAAGTTCTGATGTAGGCCCTGGAAGACAGCTCCTCTGAAGAGCAAAATGAGTCAACAGAGAAGGGTCTGATCTTTCTTAAACTCCTTAAGGATTTTTTTAGAGATGTTTTATTCTAGAGACCTGTATGGTTTTCCTTTGGGTCAAACAGGGAAATCACAGTCCTATAATAACTGAATATTATTTTAAAATTATAAAAACTTACCTCCCACACAGACACTGGATGGCTCCAAATATAAAATCTCAGTGCAAGATTGCTTCAAAACCTATTGCAAAGGAGGAAGCTAGTTATAAATAGGTTTCAATGTACTATTTCAGTGAGAAATATTATTTTAAAACAAATGCTTGTCCCTAATAGATACACATGCACAGCTACAGGTTTGATTTGCACAAGTCTGGCTTTGTAGGACATTGCCTTGACCATGTAAAATTTCTGCATGCCTGCACAGACAAGTCTCCTTGGATTAGTTTGTTAAATCCGGGTCAGTCTTTTAAACATAATGATGTTTGATTTTGGTCTTGAAATTTCTGTCTAGATCCCTAACCTAATTTTCCATGAACTCCAATCCTAACGTCTAAGCCAAAAATTACTCACAAGGAGCCTGATCCAAAATCTAATCCAGTCAAAAGCAGTCTTCCAACAATCTGTGGGTCAAGCCAAGTGCACATGATTCCAAGTGCTGGCACCCTGCCCTATGTAAAGCAGAGCAAGAACGTACGGTGCTCTTGACTGCGCTGCCTTCTGTCGCATCGGGTTTTTTGACTGCTGTACCAGTCAGCCTGCTTTGATTCTCCAACCAGGCAGGGAATATTCTTCCAAATGGCTGGGACAAAACAATACTCCTACAGGTGACTTAGAAATACAAGGGATGGACCGTAAGAGAAAGGAGGAACTAGACACCTTTAACCAATTTGTACTTAGAAGTCTCAGACACCCCCCTTTGTTTCAGCCAAGACACGTTTTACTATTTACAAATACATGAAGTGATCAAGTTATCCACAGACACTTAAGCAGAGGTGTAAATAGCCCCAAGTGTTGATTGCTGCAGACCACTTCATTTTCCATTCACAACCAGTGTGTCTCAGAAGGAATGGGTCAAGCTTGTCTGACTGCAACTGCTGCTAATCCAAGCGTGAGACCGTACTTTCCTCCCACTGCCAGGGTCTCAGCCCTGCAGCAGGGCCCCAGCTCTACTTGTTATTTCTGTCCAGGAAAGAGATGTGAATACCTATTACTGAAATGCTGTTCCCATTCTCTAAACAGGTAATGGCATTTCTGCTAACTCAGTGGAAATGAGTCTCTTGAAGCTTATAGGGTTAAACACACATAACAATCCACAATTTAAATTCCTTCTATCTTTGCATGATAATGTGAATAATAACGTGTAATTGTGGTTTTGTTTTTTCTGTGGTTGGACTCGATCTCAAAGATCCCTTCCAACCATGAAGATTCTGTAATAATTTTTTTCCCAATGTTTTTCAATTTTCCTCTCTGAAAACTTTTACTTCCCCTGTAATAAGTGGTGTATTTTTAGCAGGCATTCCTATATAATACTACATGGAATCAGAGTCCTTGTAATCACGTGCCTAGTAGAAAGTCCTGTTATTGTCCTGTCACTACCTCCATGTGCCAAATCTGTGCCTGCTCTTGAGCTGGCCTAACTGTCAGTAAATGTTAACTCTGCCTTAATCTTAGCTCATTTTTCCTTTATTTAAATAAGCCCTTTTTTTTTTTTCTGAACTCTGTCTCCTCTACTTGCTAGTGATTTCTGTTGCTATATATTCAGAGCCGGCAGAAACAATAACATATTTGTCACTGTACATACTAAAAACCATGCCAAGAAAAATAATAACCTGCCTTGTTTAACACTTTCTATATCACCTGTCTCCCCACAAACTGTTGTACACGAATTACCTTTTAGTGCTTCAAAACCCATTTGTAAACATTAAGTAGTATTTTAAAAATAGAGACCTTGCAGGTGCATACATTTGGATGAGAAACAGGAATAGAGATCTTTGGAAAGAATGTAGTTTGAAGTTCAGTGCAAGTTGACTGGTTTATATTAGCTGAGGTTCTCGCTTCCAAAAAAGGACTTAGGTTTTGATTCCTATTTCAGTGTAGAGAGAGGAACTGTTACTTAGTTTATTGGGGGAGGGGATATTTTGTGCAAAATAAAATACAAAAAGACTAAAGCATTCTACTCCTTTACTGTAAAAACATGTTCCGTTTGTTGTTTTTTTTTCCTCTGAAGAGAATGAGTCACACGAAGAGTCCAAGTCAATAAGACTATAGATTTCCTTTAATTTGAAGTACAGATCTAGCAACTGGCAGTATCAAAGCCTACCGAATTAACTTTTTTAATTATTATTTTAAAGCAGCACAATATAGACAGGGAGAAACTTTCCAACTCCTATCCTGTCCCCATTTTTCCAGTGTCTGATGGAGCAGGGCCACATTATGAATTGGGGGACGGGGAGAGGAGAAGATAATGACAGACATAATCCGTCCTGTCTTGGAAAGTAGTAATTCTGTAATTGCATTGGATCTGATAGTGAATTTTCTAACACTGTGTTTCCAAATGCAATATAAAACAGGAAAAGAACCTATAGATTTAAGGATAAACTGGGCCATAACAACGGCAGCGTACAAACCAAAGCATGCATATAATTTCACCTTTCTTCTCCACTCCTCTGCCCCCTTTTAAAAATTTGAAACTAACCTTAAAGTCCTTGCTGTGGAAACCTGGGCCGCAAAGTCAGCAAGATTGAAATGAACTCTACAAAAATCTGTACTACACTCCCTCTTTGCCAGTTCAGGATGATCAGAGAATGATCTGGCATTGCTGCTTCATTATTTAGAAACCTACTGCCCACAAGAAAAGTTGAAATAATTACTATATAAGGCCATCTTTGGATAGGGTAGTTAAACACTCTGCTGACATAAATTCAAATAAGACTATAAATTGCCTTAGTTTAACAGCAAGCAGGGAGAGATTCAGAGAGTTGATGTCATCCATTTCATTTCCAGAGCGCCACACCAAATATAGGGCTCTCTTCTCCCAGGCTTGCCAAGGCTTTCCTCCTAGCCCCCTCCCTGAATGCTAGTGTCCCAGAAAGAAACACTGCCCCACAAAACAAAGTGCAAAATAGAGTGGAAACCTGTCAGCCTCGGTCCTGTTGTCTTGCAGCTTCCGAAATGGGGTTCCTCCAAGTCTGGGACAGTCTGTGCTATGGGAAACAGCTGGAACCACCCAGAGGCTAATGAAAGTGGGGAGGATAACCTCAGTCACAGGTGGGGGCTTGCCATTTTAATGCTCGTTAGGAAGCACGTGCAGCTGCTGCAAAAAGAAGGCAGTAGAGTTCTGCTCTTCAAGCTAGTCACTCTCTTGTCCTTAAAGAAAATGAGATGTGAAATGGAGGCCCCAAATATTCTCTTATTCAACAACAGACTGCTGAGGAAACTGTTCTGTAGCTCCCCCATATACATAATTTGGTACATCATTGCCATATTGCAGCAGCAATGATTAAAGAAAGATTAAAAAAGATGTTATTATGATGTTTTCTACAAACAATTATTATAACAGCTACCTCAATAACAAGCTGCATGAAGGCAGCTTATGCTCAGTGCTGAAAAAACTACACGGCATAGCTTCTGAGGGTCAGCTGAAGGCAGAAGAGCTTCTGGGGCTCTTGGTGAAAATCACATCTTACAGCTATTAAGTGTCTGGCTAATGTACAGTTTCCACAGCACTCCTCAGTAATGCAAGCTAATCATGTCAGAATACTTTAAAGAGCAGAAGTTATCAGAATGAGGCATCCAAAAAATCCCATGGGCACTCAAAACCAAACTCACCCTTGGTTCAAACTCACCAACATATACTGGGATTCTGTTTGTGCAAACAAGCTTTTCTTTTCCAATAGGGTCACTCATAAACCAGCTGCTGGATTGCTCATTTCTGTCTGTGAGCCAGCTATCGTGTTCCTTATCCACGCATGTAACTTCAAGCATATGAATCTTCTGTTCAATACAGTGGGATGAGATCCTGCCTTACAGTTAAAGGTGTCTCTTGCTGGATCAAGGCTTTGATGTCCCACACAGAAAATTAGATTCTGCTTCTTTCCACAACAGTCCTGCAGAACCTGGCATACACACAGTTCTCAGAGGCTCTGTCCTTTAGAGGAGTGTCTATGTACTCAACTCCTGCTGTCAAACCCTTTCTATCAGCTCAGCAACAGCCAGGTGTGAGGCAATCGGCACTGAACTGTTTGGCTCCTGAACAGCTACCTGGAGCTCAGGTTTTCTCTGTAAGTCCTGCATTGTCTGACTGTCACCTATCTCCATCTCTCAAGCTATTTCAGACTCTGCGGAGAGTTTTGTGTTCCATGTAAGTTTAATCTTCCTCAGGCACAAACAAGTACACATTTAATTTTTTTCTGAAAACAGTTGTAGAAAGACCATTTTTTTTTTTCTGAAAACAGTTGTAGAAAGACCATCTACTTTATCAACTTTTCAGTTTGGGACTGCTTTCTACCTAGCAAAATTTTTTTTCTGAACAACCTGATTGTAAATCAGTACTTAAAATCTGTATCAATCCTTATCATCAGTGGCATGGATTTCTATGCATTTCCCACTAGAAGGTTCCCGAAGCCTTGCATAAACTTCACAGCCCACTTCCTAAATGAGTGGTTTAGCATTTTTGTCATTAATAAAATATTTAATTCAATTAGAGATGTTTTACAGAAACATTGTCAGTTTCTGACCTGTAGGTGTCTGAATTGAAAAACAATATCATGTTTTGTTAGATTTAAGCTGCAGAAACAATACACCTACGCAAACAATTACATTAGCATAGAAAAGGCAGATGTCCCTGCAATAAATTGCAAAAATGCAGCCAAATAACAAGATGGCATAAGGCTCACTAGTGCTTGTAGTCTTTGCAAACTCCACCTCTGTTTATAAATTTTGCCTTCTCACAGATCTTGCCTGTGCTTTCTGTAAATGTTTCTTCCCGTGGAAAACATGCCTTCTGCATCTTCTAGTACCTCTTTGACTTGGCACAGACAGGGCCCAGCTCTGCTCTGACTCACTTTTCACCCTTGCTACTGCCTCTTATAAGTTCTCGGAGTTTAAACTGTGCAGCAGCACGGCTCCTGCAGCCTTTTAAGTATTTTGACTACCATCCACTCAGAACATACTGCCGAACAGAGCTGTACCATGCGGCACAGTGTTACATGCAGGCTAAAACAACAACTTTCCCTTCCAGCA